TTCCTGTCCTGTGGGAGCACTCCACCTCAAGCTTCCTGTGGTCCATCTTCAGTTTCTCTGCGATCATTTCCCTCACTTTGTCTTCCATCCAGGTCTCATGTGGAGATTCTGCAATTCCTTCCACAACCGTGTTGTTCCGCCTTGATTGTCCCTCGAGATAATCTGATTTATCCGTCATTGTTATCATGGATTCACATACAGAACTGATGTCCTCTCTCAATGACTTACAGATTACTGTCATCTTTCCGTTCTCCTGTTTACACTCATTGAGCTGACCCTTTTATTTTTATTTTTTTATTTCACCTTTATTTAACCAGGTAAACCAGTTGAGAACAAGTTCTCATTTACAACTGTGACCTGGCCAAGATAAAGCAAAGCAGTGCGATAAAAACAACAACACAGAGTTACATATGGGGTAAAACAAAACAAAGTCAAAAATACAACAGAAATACATATATATACAGTGTGTGCAAATGTAGCAAGTTATGGAGGTAAGGCAATAAATAGGCTATAGTACAAAATAATTACAATTAGTATTAACACTGGAATGATAGATGTGCAAGAGATGATGTGCAAATAGAGATACTGAGGTACAAATGAGCAAAATAAATAACAATATAGGGATGAGGTAGTTGGGCGGGCTAATTTCAGATGGGCTGTGTACAGGTGCAGTGATCGGTAAGGTGCTCTGACAACTGATGCTTAAAGTTAGTGAGGGAGATAAGTGTCTCCAGCTTCAGAGATTTTTGCAATTTGTTCCAGTCATTGGCAGCAGAGAACTGGAAGGAATGGCGGCCAAAGGAGGTGTTGGCTTTGGGGATGACCAGTGAGATATACCTGCTGGAGCGCAGACTACGGGTGGGTGTTGCTATGGTGACCAATGAGCTAAGATAAGGCGGGGGATTTGCATAGCAGTGATTTATAGATGGCCTGGAGCCAGTGGGTTTGGCGACGAATATGTAGTGAGGACCAGCCAACAAGAGCGTACAGGTCACAGTGGTGGGTAGTATATGGGGCTTTGGAGACAAAACGGATGGCACTGTGATAGACTACATCCAATTTGCTGAGTAGAGTGTTGGAGGCTATTTTGTAAATGACATCGCCGAAGTCAAGGATCGGGTAGGATAGTCAGTTTTACGAGGGCATGTTTGGCAGCATGAGTGAAGGAGGCTTTGTTGCGAAATAGGAAACCGATTCTAAATTTAACTTGGATTGGAGATTCTTATGTGAGTCTGGAAGGAGAGTTTACAGTCTAACCTTGTAGTTGTCCACATACTCTAGGTCAGACCCCGCCGAGAGTAGTGATTCTAGTCGGGTGGGCGGGTGCAAGCAGCGTTCGGTTGAAGAGCATGCATTTAGTTTTACTAGTGTTTAAGAGCAGTTGGAGGCTACGGAAGGAGTGTTGTATGGCGTTGAAGCTTGTTTGGAGGTTTGTTAACACCCTGGGAGAACTACAAACTGTTCTTCAGGTCCTGGGCATCTCTGGTCCGGTCCTTTATTTTATTAGTTCACTCTACCTGTATTTGGACAAAACACTTGAAGCTATTTTCTTGCTGTTCTAACAACTGCTTGTAGAACTATTTTTGTTCGTTTAAAAGACACCACTGGTACCTTAACACTACTCGGCTTTAGTCTTTGTCATGGTAACAACAGTAGGTTACGCTGTTACTCCTCACAGTTCCAGACAGGGCAGGTCACAGGGAAGATTGAAAACAACAACAAACAGCAGGGATCTAGACAGCCACAAGCCCGGGACAATCTACGGTCCCAGCCACAACGGCTAACCACGTCGCAGGCTGTGTTCAAGCCCTCAAGAAAACCCTGCTACCTTGATAGGCAGCTAGCTAGCAGCTAGGCTAGCTGCTACGCCAAGCAGCTCATCAGAACCGGTCTTGGTCAGCAGGATCACTGGACCGATAGTAGTGGTCCCAGCAACTGATTCCAACCACGGGGTCCAAACTCAAAAGGTAGCTAGCTAGTAACTTCTTCAATAGATTTTAAAAACTTTCCAAAACAACTTTTCCAAAATAACAAACTTTCCAAAACAACAAGCTTTCCAAAACAACAAATTGAGCTCGCTCTCGTTCCGCGTTCAACAGGAAGTGATGACAGGAAGTGACAATATTCCAGCCGACGCTTGACATTGTGTATAGTGACCTTAGGCTTGTGTGCGGCTGCTCGGCCATGGAAACCCATTTCATGAAGCTCCCGACAAACAGTTATTTTGCTGACGTTGCTTCCAGAGGCAGTTTGGAACTCGGTAGAGAGTGTTGCAACCAAGGACAGACCATTTTTATACGCTACGCGCTTCAGCACTCGGCGGTCCCGTTCTGTGAGCTTGTGTGGCCTACCCCTTCGCAGCTGAGCCGTTGTTGCTCCTAGACGTTTCCACTTCACAATAACAGCACTTACAGTTGACCAGGGCAGCTCTAGCAGGGCAGAAATTTGACAAACTGACTAGTTGGAAAGGTGGCATCCTATGACGGTGCCACGTTGAAAGTCACTGAGCTCTTCAGTATGGGCCATTCTACTGCCAATGTTTGTCTATGGAGATTGCATGGCTGTGCGCTCGATTTTATACACCTGTCAGCAACGCAGTATGAAAACTGTCAAGCACGTGGTAGGTAGGTAAGATCAAAACAACAACTTTAATGTGCTCACTGTTTTCCCATACTGGTTTATATTTAACTGCTTTAAGAGTAAGTCCGAAGTTAATATATAATCCGTATTATATGCCATTAAGCAGACACTTTTTATCCAAAGTGACTTACAGTCATGCATATATACAGTACATTCAACTCAACTAATTTACAATAATGTCTTTGACCTTTGACACTCTGCTGAGTCACCAGGGGGCTTACCTGTAGTGTCAGCAGCTGTTGGTGTTGGGGTCAGCTCGGGGTCAATACGCTGACATGCATCCATTATCGTATACTGTTGTTGTCTTCTTGTCGACACTCTTTGCATGAATACAGATTTCTCTCACCTCTCTCTCACGCTCTCTCACTCGCTCTCTGTCTTCAACTGATCCGCTGCAAACCCCTTCACAACAACATTAGTGGGTCAGCTGAAACGTGTTGTCATTCTCTCTGCCCGCTCACTGCACTAGGTGAACTTTGACCCATTACAGTTAAGAACCATTCAGTAGTTTGTCATTACCTTTTTTTAAACATTATCTTTACACACTAACCAAACAATGAGTGATTCAATGCTAAACTACAATGGCTTCTGAACTGGTTTGAACGTCCTGATTATCAAGGCTATAAGATTATATCATCTTGGAAACTCCGAACCAAATCTTGAGCCAAATTGTCACGCTGACCAGCTAGTCTGTCACAAAACACGGCATACCATATAAAACACACATAATGGACTATTGAAAGCCAACACTGACGACTGGAATGGAATCGGAGGATGGGAACAAGGAAGTGATTGACATGAATGAAAACACAGTGTAAAGAATAAAGAGACAAGTTGAGATTCTAAATTCCTGTTTATTACCGTCGGTCTCCAATAGCTTGAGAAGGAACAACTAACGAGTTCAACAAAGATGATTGCTCCTATAACACACGACATATGGAATTCATTTGGCATGCTCCTTGACACATTTACTCACATACACAGATATGAATAATACGCTTGTCACAGCTTGTTAAATTACACATATGATATAATATAATATACACGACAAATGCACAATAATAATAATAATAATAATGCCGGCAAAAACATAAAAAGTACTTAAATATGACTGAGTGGAATTAGTCTCTCCTGAGTCCTTAACCGATCAGAATGGCTCCTGTAAAACTGTCTTATCCAATCACCACACAGGAGGAAGTGAAAGCAATGACAATAGCATAGAAATAGAGTGAAAGGTACAGCTGAGGAGGGACAAAAGCTCTCTGTATGGAAAGGACACACACACACACTCGCGGATTCATGAACGCACACACACACACACACACACACACACACACACACACACGCTCATAGACACTCCCACAGACACAAAAAAGTTACTGCAGAATTTCAGCAGGTCATGTCAGTTTGAATGGCAATCTGGATGACAGAAGTCACACTGCACTGGGGCATGGCTTGGGGATACAACAATGTCTCTATGATATTATTTAAATTTCTGAGTTGACCGTTTTTCACCATTTACATATCTTCCATGATCATTGCTCGACAGCATACAAACACAAATAATGAGTTAATCTGAATGATGAATAATCTGGACCGTAAACCACCAGCCACACCATCTTTAAAACTATAGAACGATGGCAACCTCAGAAGGGTCAGAGTTACTTAACATCTTTCACAGGAGAAACACAACACATAACATTTCTCAAAATAAACTGCATATCCCTTCAGACTTAGATTTGTATTGTTACACCTTTAGGAACCAAAACACAACCATATCTAGTGTCCTTATACAGACGGTCTGCTTCCTTAATATCTTAAGGGTTTAAATGATGCAGGAATGTAGAGTTAAGTTAGTAACGTTTGGTTCAGATGACTATTACATACAGTATAGAACCGGGTTGAGGGTTAGTTAGGCAGAATCATCACACACATCTGGCAACCCGGAATCATCACAAAACCTGGCAACCTGGACACAAACACACTTTAGTGGGTGAAGGGGCTGGGGAGAAAGCCAACTAGTCATATCAAAAAGGTCTAAGGTTTCTTAGGGCTGGTATTATGTTGTGATGCCTTACCACTAGAGTTTCTCTAAGAGGTTACACCCTCTGTAAAGCCCTAAGGGTCATCTTCAATGTATTTTCTGCCTGGTTGTGTTGCCAAAAGATGGGAAAGAACACTAGATGAACTCCTTTGTAATATATCTCTTGAAAGTATGTACGTATACGGAAACACATTTATTAACTTTTTATCGCGATTTAAAACGAGTGCAAATCAACTGATATGCCACAATCTGACCCGATAGCCTCAGTACTCCCCCCCAAACATGACTTCTAACCCACAAGAGCATGTGAACCATCCTAGAAATGGACACAGAACAGACAGCTGACGATGCAGTGCTGTTTCACATGGATACAGAACAGACAGCTGACGATGCAGTGCTGTTTCTCATGGATACAGAACAGATAAATGACGAAACAGTGCTGTTTCACATGGATACAGAACAGACAGCTGACGATGCAGTGCTGTTTCTCATGGATACAGAACAGACAGCTGACGATGCAGTGCTGTTTCACAAGGATACAGAACAGACAGCTGACGATGCAGTGCTGTTTCACATGGATACAGAACAGACAGCTGACGATGCAGTGCTGTTTCTCATGGACACAGAACAGACAGATGACAATGCAGTGCTGTTTCACATGGATACAGAACAGACAGCTGACGATGCAGTGCTGTTTCTCATGGTTACAGAACAGACAGCTGACGATGCAGTGCTGTTTCTCATGGATACAGAACAGACAGATGACGATGCAGTGCTGTTTCACATGGATACAGAACAGACAGCTGACGATGCAGTGCTGTTTCTCATGGATACAGAACAGACAGATGACGATGCAGTGCTGTTTCTCATGGATACAGAACAGACAGCTGACGATGCAGTGCTGTTTCTCATGGATACAGAACAGACAACTGACGATGCAGTGCTGTTTCACATGGATACAGAACAGACAGCTGACGATGCAGTGCTGTTTCACCTGGATACAGAACAGACAGCTGATGATGCAGTGCTGTTTCACATGGATACAGAACAGACAGCTGACGATGCAGTGCTGTTTCACATGGATACAGAACAGACAGCTGACGATGCAGTGCTGTTTCTCATGGATACAGAACAGACAGATGACGATGCAGTGCTGTTTCTCATGGATACAGAACAGACAGCTGTTAGGACAGGGGAATTGAGGATGGCACAGGTCATTGGGTCAGAGAGAGGCAGAGAAAATAGGAATCTGGTGGAAAGAGAGAGAGAAGAGAAGAGAAGATTCTGGCAGCGAGAGAGGGAAGAGAGTGGAGGATTCTGGCAGCGAGAGAGAGAGAGAGAGAGAGAGAGAGAGAGAAGAGAATATAGGATCTTGTGGAAGAGAGAGAGGTCAAAGGAGGATAATAAATATGGCGTCTCCTCTCTCACAGCCTGGAGGTGAAGTTCTCGGGGAACACTCCTTTGAGCGCGCTCTGTTTGTTCTGGATCCAGTCTTCCTCCTTCATCCCCATCAGCCAACCCTCGTCCTGAAACACACACATCGTGTGGATTAAGCGGAACCCAAAGTACACAGTTTGTAATGTAGCTAAGGCCATGAGATAGACTCAAGTCTTTTCCAGGGGGGGTACTTACTACATCAAAGCTGCCTCACACTACAGAAATGGCCACATTCTGGTTCGAACAAGGCTACTAAATGTAGTTAATTATTCTATTGTTGGAATAATAATCATGTACAAACAAAGACAGGCATTTGATAAAGCATAAACAGAACGTACCATCAGGCTATGACTAAGATCACTGACCTGTTCTTCTGGGTTGTCGAAGGCCACAACCAGCACTATGTCTCCAGCCTTCATCTCCAGCTCATCTGAGTCATTAGCTACATAATCATGCATTGTGGTCACCTGAACATGATGAGGATCAAGAAAATAGTAAAATTCAGTTTAATTTAATTTCCTACTTGGAAATAATAGATACATATTACACTACGGAGCATTTATTCACATATCATCATCCCCACTCACTTTGAAGAGGAATCCTGGAGGCATCTCTACCGCCTCTGAATCCCCGTTGGTTGCTGCTGCTGCCACAGCATGAGTCTGTGTCAAAAGAAGTGACAAAAATAAGTCAATCAGTCAATCAACCAATCAATCAATCAACCAACCAACCAACCAATCAACCAATCAACCAATCAACCAATTATCAATCAATCAATCAATTAATCAACCAACCAATCAAGGTGCCACTTACCTCTTCTGGTGCTGCGGCTGCAGGTGTAGACGCTGCAGGTGTGTCAGGCTGTTGGAGAGGGTGAGAAGAAGAACCGTTCCACATACAGCACATCACAATGTCACTAAAATACACCCCAGTCTATCAACTACCCCCTGTTACAGCCAGGCAGTATTCACAGACTGAACGACTGTATCAACTACCCTCTGTTACAGCCAGGCAGTATTCACAGACTGAACGACTGGGATACATTTCATTTTGAATTTGAGCTGGAGAAACAAGACCCTCTTTCTTTATTTAACCCTTTTGCTTATCCAGGAAGTCCCATTGAGGTCAGAATACCTATTTTCAAGGGACACCTGGCACTTCCTACTACTACTTGAAAGAACCAGACTGAACCAGACTGAACCAGACTGAACCAGACTGAACCAGACTGAACCAGACTGAACCTGACAGACCAAGGGAGCTCCACCACCATGTAGCTACAGCTATCAGTATCCTCCAGTGTTGTAGCCGATGCATCCACCCAGCTCCAGATGCATCCTACCCTTCCCATCGTACCTGGGGCACCCCCTCCTCATTATCCCAGCCAGCAGCCTCAGACTCGGCCGCGGCAGCGGAAGCAGTGGCTGGGGCTACGGATGTAGCAGTAGCATCAGCATCAGCATCATCCCCCCAGGAGTCATCCACCCTCACAGGCAGAGAGCCGTCGTCATCCCAGCCTGCCGTGGCGGCAGCTATACCGTCATCCCCACAGCCGGCAGCACGCACCGGCAGGGTACCATCATCATCCCAGCCGGCAGCACGCACCGGCAGGGTACCGTCATCATCCCAGCCGGCAGCACGCACCGGCAGGGTACCGTCATCCCCACAGCCGGCAGCACGCACCGGCAGGGTACCGTCATCATCCCAGCCGGCAGCACGCACCGGCAGGGTACCATCATCATCCCAGCCCTTGGGCTCCTCTGGTGGAGCAGGAGCTTCCTCAGGCTAGGAGGGGCGAGGGGTCGGGGGGGGGGGGGGGCAATTAAATGGGCAGAATGGGTCATGTCCATTGGCATGAGGAACCCATTTGAAGCCATAGAGACCGGGTTTAGGGCCAGGGTTTCCATGGCAATGGGCAGGGGCAAGGGGTAAGGGTAGGGGGAAGGGTATAGGGTGTAGGGGCGAGGGGTAGGGGCGAGGGGTAGGGGCGACGGTAGGGGGTAGAGGGCAGTGAAATGGGTTATAATAGGCCATAGGAAGCCATAGTGACCAAGAACCGGGTCAGGCCAGGGTTTCCATGGCAATGAGCCAATTATCAGGGATAACAGAAATGTAGGAAATTAATTCAAATTAATAAAATGAATTAATTAATTGATAAATAAAAAGATGGATGATTTCAGACGTGGGGGATTTGGCGAAGAAGTGAAAAGACCAATTAGGAAAGATCATTAGGTTTTCGATCATTAGCTTTTTCCAATTCAAAGAATGCTGTTGTTATGGAGTTGGCATGATGTCATGATGGCACAGACTGGCACTCAGGCTACCAGGTAACATTGTGGAAGACCAGAGGTACGGTTCTATTCTGTGTTACTATTTTCCCCAACAAAAACACAGAGCTGTGGAGATAACAGTTTGGTTACGACATGAAAGCAAACCTTGAAAACCATGAAAATAACTATTTTGTTATTCTGAGAGTATCATGCGGTCCTTAAGATCAATCAGCTAGCCAGTCCCTGTTGGATCAGCTAGCCAGTCCCTGTTGGATCAGCTAGCCAGTCCCTGTTGGATCAGCTAGACAGTCCCTGTTGGATCAGCTAGCCAGTCCCTGTTGGATCAGCTAGACAGTCCCTGTTGGATCAGCTAGCCAGTCCCTGTTGGATCAGCTAGCCAGTCCCTGTTGGATCAGCTAGACAGTCCCTGTTGGATCAGCTAGCCAGTCCCTGTTGGATCAGCTAGACAGTCCCTGTTGGATCAGCTAGCCAGTCCCTGTTGGAAGGAATCTATGGCCAATATAGAGTATGATGACTGTGCTTACCTCCCACGTGTCCCATGATACCGCCTTCAGGGGGGTAAAAAGAGAAAGGGAGAGAGAGAGGGGTAGAGATGCTCAAACACAAAATAAACACTGTGTCTGTTTAATTCAACCCCATGCACTTCAACGTCATACGTCTAAACGAACAGAAATGGTGAAAATGCTAACGAGTCAACTATACACAGTGGGCAATGAATATCTCTCCATGCAGACTGAACTCAGCCAGGCTCTGTGCGTGTATCATACACGTATAGGAGCTGATACCAATATGACAGAGCGCCCACTTGACATATTGCCTGCCTGGCCATCTGACAGACCGGGCCAACCCACCTGAGAGGCTGGGGACACGGCTGTGCCACCATGACATGGTGGCAGCCAGGGTGGACAGGTCCATGTCCAACAGGTTGGCCCCAGCAGGGCTTTCAAACTGACAGGGGACGGAAGGACAAGATACATACGGACAGTTAACAGGAGGGCGGGATTAGCAAGGGGTCACACTTTATGTGGATAGCAGAGTTGGGGTCAAGTCAAACGTAAGACAGTCAATTCAGGAACAAAAACTGAAATTCCAATTCAATTCATTTGAAATAACTTGTCATTAATCTAAAAACGAGATGCTATTTATTTATGTCAAAAGTTTAAAATGTTTGGATTTTAAATTCATATCACTTCCTGAATTGACTTCAATTCCAAATTGACCCCAACCTTGGATGATAGTCGCCAATAGAAGGCCTATCAACAAAATATCAACTGCAACTCTGTCGATGTGTAACAGCTTGCTAGGGTTCTGATAAGGGGGATAGGGCAGGATTAGGGTAGAGTATGGGTTAGGGTAAGGAGTTACAAAGGGTTAAAGGAAGAGAACAGAGAACAGGCCTTACCTGTGTTGGAGACTGTAACACTGATGCCCGGAGCAGCAGCAGCAGCATCAAACAGGTTAATGATATTTTCTGGTTTCATGTCCCGACAGGGGCTGGATTCAGGCCGCGGCGGCATCGCTGGTCTCAGCTACACAACGTAACAAAAAAACACGCCACATTGAAACGTGTCTTTCTTTTGCAAAAATAACTAGGAATTAATGGAATTCAATTTCAAAATAATTGTCAAAATATAACATCACATTAAGGTGTGGTACGTTCACTGTATTATAAGGAACAATAGCAGGTCTATTTCTCTCCAGTAGCTAGCATTCAAGACATTGTTTGTGAGGAAATTATCTCTTCCCTCGACTTGCAATTAAAACCGATAAATTAAATCTCTTGACCTGCTCACTTGTATAGTGGATACCTACTCAACTAAAGTGGAACGTTTGGAGACAGCTGCCAATGTGACAGAGATGCGACTCCATGACCTGGAAACTGCGCAAAACTAAGCTAGACGGGAAAATCTATCTCCTAAAAAAAGAAAACAGAATCACTCGAAAAATCATTCCCATAAATTCTGTGTGGGTCACAGGACCTGAAACTGGTGTGGAAGCAGGCAACCCAACTTCCTTCATGAGCAATCTTTTCTATGAACTGTTTGGGCAGAGAAGCTGGGTCCTAGGCCGCAGATAAACACTGCGCAACACACGGGCTCCTCTCCGCAACGGATCCCGGCGTATGATTGTACAAATCCACAGTTTTGAAGTCAAATGGCAAATTGTTCACCTCACAGCGGAATCGGGGGCTCTGACCTATGCTGAGAAGAGGATCAGTATCTACCCAGATCTGAGTGCTGAACTGCTGAAACAGAGGGAGACCTACGACGAGGTGAGATCCCAGCTACGCCAGCTAAATCTAAGACTTGGCTTCATCTATCCGGCAAAACTCATCTTGACCTTCCAGAATACAACACAGGTTTTCCACTGCCAAGACCGCTCAAGACTTCTTCGAGAAGCACATCAAGCCCAACACACAAGGGGACGAGCCGACAGAACTAGGCTAACCCCAATTTGATTGTCTCAGTATTCAGGTATGCTATCCACGCACAATCACACAGCGTAGCCTATGGTTCGACCAATGGGGTGGGTTTGTTCCCTGTGGGTCCTGCTTTTTGTTTCACATCTATCAATACTAAAGATACATGTAACAATTACATCATTAATAATACATTTTTTAAACAATGTCAACGCTAGCTATTCTCTCTTGGAATTTGAAAGGCCTTAATAGTCCTAGTAAATGTTCCAGCTGTCTTGATGTCCTAGCAAGAAACCATATTGATATAGCAATGTTCCAGGAAACACACCTTCTCCAAAAAGACACACATAGAATAGAGAACCATTTGTACAAAACTGGCTTCTTTTTCATCAGCCCCAAACAAAACAAAATCTGTAATCATATTGATACATAAGAATCACTTTCCTTAAATGTGTCAATAATGGAAAGAAAACAGCCTTTATTAATGTGTACACTCCAAAATTAATATGATCCTAATTTTTTTGATTTTCTGAACACTGAATTCCATTTGGTTATTGGGACAGACATGAATGCCATTTTGGACATGCGAGATAAATCTAATAAGACCAACTACAATCCACATGCAACTAAGGCTCTCCAGCATACAGTATACTCTCTGATTACAACCTCATTGATGCCTGGTGAACAGATAATCTTGAAGCAAAAGAGTACACTTTCTACTCAAACAGGCATAAAACATTTTCATGAATCGATTTCATACTATTATCTACACCTTTTTTAATGAAGAAAATAGAAATCTGACATATGAGCTTGTCTGACCACCACACTTACCACCACACTTACTACTATGTAGCTCAGTTGATAGAGTATGTTACACACCTCTGTCTGAGTCTTTACCAGCAGCTACAGTAGGTTACACACCTCTGTCTGAGTCTTTACCAGCAGCTACAGTAGGTTACACACCTCTGTCTGAGTCTTTACCAGCAGCTACAGTAGGTTACACACCTCTGTCTGAGTCTTTACCAGCAGCTACAGTAGGCTACACACCTCTGTCTGAGTCTTTACCAGCAGCTACAGTAGGTTACACACCTCTGTCTGAGTCTTTACCAGCAGCTACAGTAGGTTACACATCCTCTGTCTGAGTCTTTACCAGCAGCTACAGTAGGTTACACACCTCTGTCTGAGTCTTTACCAGCAGCTACAGTAGGTTACACACCTCTGTCTGAGTCTTTACCAGCAGCTACAGTAGGTTACCACCCTCTGTCTGAGTCTTTACCAGCACTACAGTAGTTACACACCTCTGTCTGAGTCTTTACCAGCAGCTACAGTAGTTACACACCTCTGTCGAGTCTTTACCAGCAGCTACAGTAGGCTACACACCTCTGTCTGAGTCTTTACCAGCAGCTACCGTAGGTTACACACCTCTGTCTGATCTTTACCAGCAGCTACAGTAGGTTACACTCCTCTTTTGAGTCTACCAGCAGCTACGTAGGTTACACACCCTCTGTCTGAGTCTTTACCAGCAGCTACAGTAGGTTACACAAAACCCCTGTCTGAGTCTTTACCAGCAGCTACAGTAGGTTACACACCTCTGTCTGAGTTGAGCGATGCGGTGGTCAGCATTATAGACTATTTAATTCCCTTCATCTGAATATCAGCATGTCAGCTCAGTGCACACAGCTTAACAGAGAAAATAAAACATTTGAGAATAAATTTGTTTGCCATCTCCATCTCCAGCCCCTGTGTGTGTGTTGGTGGGGGGGGGGGTGTGTGTGTGTGTGTTGTGTGTGTGGGGAGGTGTGCGTGTGTGGTGAGTGTGTGTGTGATTGTGTGTATGTTGCGTGTGTGTGTGTGTGTGTGCGTGTGTGTGTGTTGTGTGTGTGTGTGAGTGTGTGTGTGTGTGTGTGTTTGAGTGTGTTGTGTTTGTGTGTGAGTGGTGTGTTTGTTGTTGAGTGTGTGTGTGAGTGTGTGTGTGTGTGTGTGTGAGTTGTGTGTGTGTGTGTGTTGAGTGTGTGTGTGTGTGTGTGTGTTGTGTGTGTGTGTGTGTGTTTGTGTGGAGTTGTGTATGTGTTGTGTGTGTGTGTTGTGTGTGTGTGTGTGTGTGTGAGTGTGTTCATGTGTATGTGGTGTGTGTGTTGTGTTTGTGTTGTGTGTGTGTGAGTGTGTATGTGAGAGTGTGTGTAGTACAGTACCTTGGAAGGGGACTTAGGGATGGGTGGCGGTCCGCCTGGACTCAGAGCGTGATTGGCTGGATCTGCTCCTCTGGGGAGCTCACTAGAGGAGAGAGAGAGAGAGAGAGAGAGAGAGAGAGAGAGAGAGAGAGAGAGAGAGAGAGAGAGAGAGAGAGAGAGAGAGAGAGAGACAGACAGACAGACATACAGACAGAGCGGGAGAGGAGAGAGAGAGAGGGGGGAGAGAGAGATGGGGGGGGGAGAGGGGAGAGAGAGAGGGGGGAGAGAGAGAGAGAGAGAGGTCTGTTCCCACTGTACAGTGCAGAATGGAAGGTGCTTGTTATGTTATAGTGAACAGTGACGGCAGACTGACAGTCTTTACAACTGCAGATACTCTAAAGCAGTGTATCTCCTCCACCAACCGGATCTCCTCTCTGTCATAGCTGTTGAGCCTCGGGACGAGGTTACCTCAGCCAGTTCCACTTATTTTATGTATTCTAGTCCAAGCCAACCTGATTCAACTGTTCAACTAATCACCAAAGCCCTTCCGTTAGTTGAATCCTGTGTGCTAGTTCTCAAATGAGTGAAATTGAGTGGCAGTCTGTTTGTGCCGTCATGACAACTCCTTGTTACTCCTCGTCATGCCATGTTTGGAGTTGGCAAGATCTGGAACGGGGGAAGTTGATGAGAGGTTTGAGACTCCACTCTAAGGTGAATAACAGTAATAACTAACCAAGCAGCCCCTGAACTCAGATGCTGAACCACAGACAGACACATTAGTTTAGTCAGACAGGGACTTGGTTACCTCCTCCGAGCTCCCGACGACGTCCGTGCACTGCTGTTACCTGTTGCCTTTCTGTAGGGGTGGTGGGCATTCATTTAATCTAGATCAAATAGATCACTACATTTCCCCTTTAGGGATAATAATGTTATACTGTATTGTATTGTGTTGTGTTGTGATTCCAAGCTTTGTTGACCAGCTGTAATCTGATGACTTTGTACTGGCCATACGTTTAATAGATGGTGTTAACTACGTGGTTGGGGTCAAGTCCTTTTAAATTCAGTGAATTCAGGAGGAAAATTGGAATATAATTTTTCAGTTTACTTCCTAAATTGACTGAATTGGAATGCAATTGAGCCCTACCCTGGTTCACAGCGATAACAGAGGACATTTATAAAATATAATATTATCATTATATATTATATACAGTGGGGAGAACAAGTATTTGATACACTGCCGATTTTGCAGGTTTTCCTACTTACAAAGCATGTAGAGGTCTGTAATTTTTATCATAGTTACACTTCAACTGTGAGAGACTGAATCTAAAACAAAAATCCAGAAAATCATATTGTATTATTTTTGAGAAATGCATTTGCATTTTATTGCATGACATAAGTATTTGATACATCAGAAAAGCAGAACTTAATATTTGGTACAGAAACCTTTGTTTGCAATTACAGAGATCATATTTTGGCCCACTCCTCCATACAGACCTTCTCCAAATCCTTCAGGTTTCGGGGCTGTCGCTGGGCAAAACGGACTTTCAGCTCCCTCCAAAGATTTTCTATTGGGTTCAGGTCTGGAGACTGGCTAGGCCACTCCAGGACCTTGAGATGCTTCTTACGGAGCCACTCCTTAGTTGCCCAGGCTGTGTGTTTCGGGTCGTTGTCATGCTGGAAGACCAAGCCACGACCCATCTTCAATGCTCTTACTGAGGGAAGGAGGTTGTTGGCCAAGATCTCGCGATACATGGCCCCATCCATCCTCCCCTCAATACGGTGCAGTCGTCCTGTCCCCTTTGCAGAAAAGCATCCCCAAATAATTATGTTTCCCACCTCCATGCTTTCACGGTTGGGATGGTGTTCTTGGGGTTGTACTCATCCTTCTTCTTCCTCCAAACACGGCGAGTGGAGTTTAGACCAAAAAGCTCTATTTTTGTCTCATCAGACCACATGACCTTCTCCCATTCCTCCTCTGGATCATCCAGATGGTCATTGGCAAACTTCAGACGGGCCTGGACATGCGCTGGCTTGAGCAGGGGGACCTTGCGTGCGCTGCAGGATTTTAATCCATGACGGCGTAGTGTGTTACTAATGGTTTTCTTTGAGACTGTGGTCCCAGCTCTCTTCAGGTCATTGACCAGGTCCTGCCGTGTAGTTCTGGGCTGATCCCTCACCTTCCTCATGATCATTGATGCCCCACGAGGTGAGATCTTGCATGGAGCCCCAGACCGAGGGTGATTGACCGTCATCTTGAACTTCTTCCATTTTCTAATAATTGCGCCAACAGTTGTTGCCTTCTCACCAAGCTGCTTGCCTATTGTCCTGTAGCCCATCCCAGCCTTGTGCAGGTCTACAATTGTATCCCTGATGTCCTTACACAGCTCTCTGGTCTTGGCCATTGTGGAGAGGTTGGAGTCTGTTTGATTGGGTGTGTGGACAGGTGTCTTTTATACAGGTAACGAGTTCAAATAGGTGCAGTTAATACAGGTAATGAGTGGAGAACAGGAGGGCTTCTTAATTAAAAACTAACAGGTATGTGATAGCCGGAATTCTTACTGGTTGGTAGGTGATCAAATACTTATGATAAAAATGACAGACCTCTACGTGCTTTGAAAGTAGGAAAACCTGCAAAATCGGCAGTGTATCAAATACTTGCTCTCCCCACTGTATAAGGAACGGTATACTATGTAATACAATGACAGAAACTCACCCAGACATGTCCTGTCTCTCCAGTTTGACAAGAACATCGTACAGATTCTGGTCGAGCTGCATACGGTGTGAATGAGAGGGGAGGAGTTTGGGGGGGGGGGGGGGGGGGGGGGGGGGGGGGGGTTTTTAGGGGGGGGGGGGGGGTTTTTTTTTTTTTTTTTTTTGGGGCCCAAAAATTTTTTTTTTTTTCCCTCCTTTCCCCTCCCCTCCCCTCCTCTCCCTTCCTTTCCCCCCTTCCCCCCTCCTCTTTCCTTTTTCCCCCCCCCTCCCCCCCTCCCTCCTTTTCCCCCCCTCCCCCCCTTCGCCCTCTCTCGTTCCCCCCTCCCCCCCCCCGCCCCCCCGCCCCCCCTCCCTTTCCCCCCCCCCCCCCCCCCCTTTTCCCCTCCCCCAAAAAAAAAAACAAGGTTCCAAAATTTTGGGGCTCGATATTTAAATTATCGCCCCTTTCGGTTTCACCAAAATCAATCTCAGACTCACCTTGCCCATCTCCTTGTGGAACTTCTCCTCAAAGCCAGCCATACTCTGGAAGGTGCTAACGTAGAAACCCACCGACTATGGCACAAAAGGGGATGGATGGACACAGCGAGAAAATGAAGGAAAAAAAAGTGAAAGAGATGGGAGGGTAAGGATTTTTAACAAATAATTATTATATACCTTATTGAAAACCTTATGTTTTTAGTGCATCGCTATATGTTTTTTTTTTCTTCCCCAATTTGGGAAGGAACAAATACATTATTTTCCTTTTTCTTCCATTCCCCAAAGTACCTGTTCCCCTGAGACGTCCTTTCCACAGTAAGTACCTGTTCCACAGTGAGATGTACCTGTTCCCAGTGAGATGTACCTGTTCCACTGAGACGTACCTGTTCCACATGAGATTCCTTTTTTCCACATGAACGTACCTGTTTTCCCGTGAGTGTACCGTTCCACAGTGAGACTACCTGTTCCACAGGGGAAAGTACCTTTCCCCACATGAATTACTGTTTTCTTATAGTGAGATGTACTGGTACCTGTCCCATAGTGAGATTTACTGTTTCCTTAGTGAGATGTACCTGTTCCACAGTGAGACTACCTGTTTCCACAGTGAGATGTACCTGGTTCCACAGTGAGATGTACATGTTCTATAGTGAGATGTACCTGTTCCACAGTGAGACGTACCTGTTCCACAGTGAGACGTACCTGTTCCACAGTGAGATGTACCTGTTCCATAGTGAGATGTACCTGTTCCACAGTGAGATGTACCTGTTCCATAGTGAGACGTACCTGTTCCACAGTGAGACCTACCTGTTCCACAGTGAGACCTACCTGTTCCATAGTGAGACGTACCTGTTCCACAGTGAGATGTACCTGTTCCACAGTGAGACGTACCTGTTCCACAGTGAGATGTACCTGTTCCACAGTGAGATGTACATGTTCTATAGTGAGATGTACCTGTTCCATAGTGAGATGTACCTGTTCCACAGTGAGATGTACCTGTTCCACAGTGAGATGTACCTGTTCCACAGTGAGATGTACCTGTTCCATAGTGAGATGTACCTGTTCCATAGTGAGACGTACCTGTTCCATAGTGGACGTACCTGTTCATAGTGAGATGTACCTGTCCATTTCAGACGTACCCTGTTTCCACAGTGAGACGTACCTGTTCCATAGTGAGGATCTACCTGTTCCATAGTGAGATGTACTGTTCCCATAGTGAGACGTACCTGTTCCATAGTGAGATGTACCTGTTCCATAGTGATATGTACCTGTTCCATAGTGAGACGTACCTGTTCCATAGTGAGATGTACCTGTTCCATAGTGAGACGTACCTGTTCCATAGTGAGATGTACCTGTTCCATAGTGAGATGTACCTGTTCCATAGTGAGACGTACCTGTTCCATTTCAGACGTACCTGTTCCATAGTGAGTTGTACCTGTTCCATAGTGAGATGTACCTGTTCCACAGTGAGATGTACCTTTCCATAGTGAGATTGTACCTGTCCATAGTTGGTTTTACTTTCCATAGTGAGATGTACCTGTTCCATAGTGAGATGTACCTGTTCATAGCGGACGATTATACTGTTCCATAGTGAGAGTACCGTTCCACAGTGAGATGTACCTGTTCCATAGTGAGATGTACCTGTTCCATAGTGAGACGTACCTGTTCCACAGTGAGATGTACCTGTTCCATAGTGAGATGTACCTGTTCCATAGTGAGATGTACCTGTTCCATAGTGAGACGTACCTGTTCCATAGTGAGACGTACCTGTTCCACAGTGAGATGTACCTGTTCCATAGTGAGCGACCTGTTCCTTTTCAGATGACCTGTTCCTTTTTTCAGATGTACCTGTTCCTAGGGGAACGTACCGTTCCATAGTGGGGGCTTTTCCTCCGCAGATTTTTCTTAATTCCTCAAACACCTTCTGGCTTCTCCAACTCCCTCCCCCGGGACACAACACAAACAACACCACACATCTTCAAAATCCTTTTATCTTTCCTTCCAATACAATAAATGTAGTTGTAAAAACCCGGGTTTGCCAACTACTACCAACTACTACCAAAACTACGGCCAACTCTACCCAAACTACTAGCCAAACTACGGGCCCAAACTAGGGGCCAAACTCTAAAAAGTATCCCCCATACGGCCCAACTATAGCCCATGGCCCTACTGGCCACTCAAAAACACTACCAAACTATAGCCAACTAGGGGCAACTACTGCCAACTACGGGCCCAAAATAGGGCCAAACTACTAGCCAACACTGGCCCAAAACTACTACCCAAAACTACTACCCAACTACGGGCCCAAACTACATTCAACTACTACCAACTACTACCCAACTACGGCCCCTATACCCACTACTGGCCAATACGGGCCAACACTGGCCAACTAGAATACTAGCCAACACTACCAACTAGGCCCAAACACTGGCCAATTTAGTCAATACTACCAACTACGGGCCCAAACACGGCCAAACACTGGCCAACTACTACCCCAACTCCTGGCCAACTACTAGCAACTACTAGCCAACTACTACCCAAACACGGCCAATACTAGCCAACTACGGGCCAACTACGGGCCAACTTAGCAAAATAGGGCCAAATTTGGGCCACCTATGGCCCTATAGTCAACTCTACCCAACACACCCAAACACGGGCCCCCAACTACTAGCCAACATGGCCAACTACTGCCAAACGGGCCCAAACATGGCCAAACTATAGCCAATACACCAACTACTGGCCAACACTGGCCAACTACGGGAAAACTATGGCCAATACTCCAACTACTGCCAACACGGGCCCAAATACTCCAACTATGGCCAATAGGGCCCAAACACTAGCCAACTACTACCCAAACTCTGGCCCAAACCCAGTAAAAACTCTACCAAAAACTAGCCAACTCTACCCCCTTGTGGAAAAAAAAAGTTTTGTGTCGGGAAAGAAATGTTTAAAATGGAGCTCTTTCAAAAGTTCAAACTATTGCGGGGCAACTACAACTACAACAAAAGACTACAACTACAATAAGTGTTGAGTCCAATGACCCCCGTAGTAAACAGGGGGGTTTGGAAGGGTGTTGGACCCCCCCTTTTTCCTGGAGAGGTTCGGGGCAATTTTTGGGGGCTGACGGGACCCTGACCCAACCTGGTGGGGCCCTCTCTAACAAGGCTGGCTGGGGGGGGAAGTAAAAGATAAGAGAAGGGGAAAGGGCGAGAGAGGGGAGAGAAAGAAGAGAAAGGGGGGGTTTTTTTTTTTTTTTTTTTTTTTTTTTTTTTTTTTTCCCCTTTTCCCTTTTTTTTTTTTTCCCCCTTTTTTTTTTTTTCCCCCCTTCCCCCTTTTTTTTTTTTTTTCCCTTTTTTTTTTTTTTTTTTTTTTTTTTTTTTTCCCCCCTTTTTTTTTTTTTTTTTTTAAAAAAAATTTTTTTTTTTTTAAAAAAATTTTTTTTTTGGGGTTTTCTTTTTTTTTTTTGGGGGGTTTTTTAAAAAAATTTTTTAAAAAAATTTTTTTGGAAAAAAATTTTTTGGGTTTTGGGGGGGTTTTTTAAAAATTTTTTTTGGAAGGGTTTTTTTTTTTTTTTTTTTTTTCCCCAATTTTTGTTTTTTTAAAAAAAATTTTTGGGGGGGGGGGGGTTAAAAATTTGGGGGAAAAAAAAAAAATTTTTTAAAAAAAGGGGGGGTTTTGTTTTTTTTAAAAATTTTTTTTTTTTTCCTTTTTTTTTTTTTTTTGGGGGGGTTTTTTTTTTTTTTTTTTTTTTTTTTTTTTTTTTTTTGGTTTTTCCCCCGGGGGGAAAAAAGGGATAAAAAAAAAAAAAAAGGGTTTTTAAAAAACCCCCCCAAAAAAAAAAAAAATTAAAATTTTTCCCCCCCTTTTTGGCCCCCCCCCCCCCTTTTTTTTTCCCCCCCCCCCCCCCCCAAAACCCCCCAAAAAAAAAAAACCCCTTCCCCCCCCCCAAAAAAACCCCAACCCCCCCCCCCCAAAAAAAACCCCCCCACCCCCCCCCCCCCCCCCCAAAACCCCCCCCCTAAACCCCCCCCCAAAAACCCCCTAAAACCCCCCCCTTAAAAATTTTCAAAAAAAACCCCCCCCCCCCCCTTCCACACACCTAAATTCCCCCCCCAAAAACCCCCCCTCATCACCCCCCCCCCACCCCCTCAAAACCCCCCCACCCCCCCCACCCCCCCCCCCCCAACCTCCCCCCCCCCAAAACCCCCCCCCAATCACACCCCTTCCCCCCCCCCCCCCCCCCCCCCACCCCCCCCCCCCAACCCCACCCCCCCCCCCCCCCCAAAACCACCCCCTCCCCCCCCCCCCCCCCCCCCAAAAAACCCCCCCCCCCCCCCCCCCAAAACCCCCCCCCCCCCCCCCCCCCCCAAAAACCCCCCCCCCCCCCCCCCCCCCCCCCCCCCCTTTCCCCCCCCCCCCCCCCCCCCCCCCCCAAAAAACCCCCCCCCCAACCCCCCCCCCCCCCCCCCCCAAAAACCCCCCCCCCCCCCCCCCCCCCTTTTCCCGCCCCCCCTCCCCCCCCCCCCTCCCCCCCCCCCCCCCCCCCAACCCCTCCTCACCCCCCCCCTTCCCCCCCCCCCCCCCCCACCCCCCCCCCCCCCCCCCCCCCCCCAAACCCCCCCACCCCCCCTCCCCCCCCCCCCCAAACCCCCACCCCCCCCCCCCCCCCCCCCCCCCCCCCCCCCCCCCGGCCCCCCCCCCCCCCCCCCCCCCCCCCCGGGCCCCCCCCCCCCCCCCCCCGGGTCCTCCCCCCCGCCCCCCCCCCCTTTCCCCCCCCCCCCCCCCCCCGCCCCCCCCCCCCCCCCCCCCCCCCCCCCCCCCCCCCCCCCCCCCCCCCCCCCCCCCCCCAAAAAAAACCCCCCCAACCCCCCGGCCCCCCCCCTCCCCCCCCCTCCCCCCCCCCCCCTCCCCCCCCCCCCCACCCCCCCCCCCTTTTAAAAACCCCCTTTTTTGGGGGGGGGGGAAAAAATTTTTTCCCCACCAGCTTCTGATGGAAACCCCGGTCCACAAACATCTGTGTCCTGCAACCGAAAAAGGGAAATTTAACAATTTAAAAAACACGGACAAAAACTTCCCCCTCACAGACAAAAGACGGACAAAACCCACACACACCCAATCTCTTTAAACCCTAAAAGGGAAAAGAAAACATAACCTAACTAAACTATAACTTTAAAAAAAATATGGCCGTCAGTGAATGGCGGGCCCACCTCAAATTTGTACAACTGAAAAGGCACCTACCTCAAAATATTCAGCTGAATGGCAGCCTACTTCAAAGTAGTACCGCTAAGGCACCTACCTCAAAGTATTAAAAGCTAAAGGCAGGCCCCACTCCAAATATACACTGAATGGCAGCCTCCCCCCAAAGTGTACAGCTGAATGGGACCCCCCCTTTCCAAAAATATCAGGGTTTAATGGGCCCCCTACCTCAAAATTTAACAAACTGAAGGCAGCCCCACCCCAAAGTAAGGCCCGCTGAATGGCACCTACTTCAAATAAATACAGCTGAAAAGGCAGGGCCACCTCAAAGTAGTTAAAAGCTGAATGGGAGCCTACCCCCAAAATAGTACACTAATGGCGCCTACTTCAAAAATAGTACAAGCTGAATGGGAACTTTCCCCCATTTAGCCCTTAAAAAACCCGGGAACCTTCCCGACTACGTAATCGTAATTTCCCAGGTTCCTTTTCACTCCACTGAGTGATTAAAAAACAAATGGGTTTTTATTTACCTCCAAAATTTTTTCCCAAATTCTCTAGCCTTACTTACTCTAAGAAGAATGATTTTGGGGGAAAAAGAAAGGGGCCCAAAGAAGGACAAAAAAGGCATGAAAGAAAAAAGGAAACGGCGATGACATACAGAATTTTAGGGAGGTATGAAAAGAACCCCAAAGGATAGAAAAAGGAAAGGGGGGAAAATGACGATTAAAAGAGAAGGGAGAGCCAAGGAAATTAAAAATTTGCGTCTGGGATATGGGGGGAAACTGTTGTGGGGCCCTTTTTAAATTGGCCGGGCCCCTTTTTTTTATTTTTTTTTCCCAAACCCAAATTTCTTTTTTGCAGCTCAAGGCAATTTTTTGTAAAATAGACAGAGCCCCAAAGCATCATAAACTTGGTTTTAGGCCCAAAACCCTTTCCCACCCCTCAAACACTGTCCCTACCTTTCCCTTTTTTTCAAAAAAAAAGGTGGGGTTAAATTACCCCCAGAGGCAGCGAGCGACTTTGGTTTGGGGGGGGGTCGGCCCCCGCCCCCCGCCTCTAGGGGGGGGGTTGCCGTCCTTTTTGGCGCTTTTCTCGGGTTTTTTCCTCTTTTCCCCTCTTTTTTCCCCGTTTTTTTCCTTCCCCTTTTTTTTTTTCCCCCTGTTTCCCCTTTTCTCCTCCTCCCCTTTTTTTCCCCCTTTTCTTCCCTTTTTCTCTCGGTTCCCCTTTTTTTCCCCCCTCCTTTTTTTCTTCCCTCTTTTTGCCCCCTCTTTTTTCCTCGGTTTCCCCTTCCTTTTTTTCCTCTCCTCGTGTTCCCCCTTTTTTTTTCTCCCTTTTTTTCTTCTCCTCTCTTTTCCTCCTCTTCCTCTCTCTCTCCCCTCCCCCCTTTTCTCTTTTTCTCTCCCCTTTTTTTTTTTTTTTTTTTTTTTCTCTCTTTTTCCCCCTTTTTTTTTTTTCCCTCTCCTCCCAATTTGCCCCCCCTTCCCTATTCTCCCCCCCTTTAACCTTTCCCCTCTTCTTCCCTTTTTTCCCCCCTCCCCCCTTTTTTTGGCCCTTTTTTTTGGGCCCTCCCTGGTTTTTTTTTCCCCCCTTTCCCCCTTTTTTTTTTTTTCCCCCCGCCCCCCCGCCGGTTTTTCCCCCCCCTTTCCCCTTTCCCTTTTTTCTTTAAAAACCGTGCCCCCCCCCCGCCCTCTCCTCCCCCTTTTAACTTTTTCCCCCTCTTTCCCCTCCCCTTTCCCCCCCCTTCACCCTTTTATTTTTTTTTAAAAAAGGTTTTGAAAAACCCTTCCCATCCTTTCAGGATCCCCTCATATTAACCTTTTTTAGGGGGAATTTTTTAAGGGGTTTTTAAATAGTTCCTTTTGCCGGCCCCTTTTCGGAAAACCCCAATGCCCCCCTTGGTACCCCTTTTAAAAAACAAAATTTGTTTGGAAAAAAAGCTTTCTAAAATTATTTTTTGCCCCCTTTTTCTCCAAAATAGGAAAGGGCCAACCTTGTTTTCTGTGGGGCCTCCTCCCTTTAAAAACAACCCCAACCCCACAAAGAGCAACCAAAACCCTTCCAACTTTTTGGAAAGGGAAAAGCCCTTCCGGGTTTAATTTTTTGCCTTTTTAATCATTATAAATTTTAAGAAGGGGGCCCAAGGGCCTTTTCTTTTAATGTTAAAAAAATAAGCACCAATAAAGAGGGGGGGAAGAAGAGGAAGCCCCCAAAAAACTTTGGGTTTATAAGGTTTTTTATTTATACCCCAAAAACCAAAATCCCCCCATTTTCCCCCCAAAAAAAATTAAAAAAGCCTTCCGCCTACTTCTTTTTTCCCTTTTATCCCAAAAAATGTTTTTTTGATTTTTAAGTTTAAAACAAAAGGGAAAATTATTCCCTTTAATTTAACAGGAATAATACAAAAGAAAGGAAAAGAATTTAAAAATAACATTCGGGGTAATTTTAAAAACTCTCCCCAAAATTTAACCAATGGGCCCCAATTTTTTTTAAAATTTTTTTTAACCCAAAAGGCCCCCCCCTTTATAAGCCCCCCCTTTTTAGGGGGGGGGGGTTTTTTTTTTTTTTTTTTTTTTTTTTCCTTCCCATGGGGTTTTTTTTATATCGCCCTTTTTTTGCCCACAAACTATGGGGGCTTTATATTTTTTAAACTAGCTACAAACTAAGGGCTTTTATATAGCCCTTGGGGTTTTTAAAATCTATGGGAATTGTTTTTTTGGGTTAATATTTTTTAAACTTCAAAATCATCCATCTTTCTCTCTCTCTCTCCATCAAATCAAATTGCATCCAATAATAGATCACCTGTTCTAGGTTTATATATAGCCCTGTATATAGATGTCCTAGCCTACCTCTTTCAGGTAATACATTCAATGCACTATTAGCCTTATATTTAGCTAATTGATGATGGGTTGTGTATAATAAGCTTCTAACTTATAGCCTCTGTCTCTTGCGCAATACGCACGCACCTGTGCTCCGCTGGCCTCTCCTTAAAAAACACTCCTTAGCTCTTGGAATCCCACGCAGGAAAAGCTTGCTGGACATTATTTTTTTAGCATTTCTTATACCAATAGACTATTTGAAGAGGGACGCAAGCTCTTGTTTGCTGAATGTTAAAAAACAGCAGCCAATAGAACTCACGGGTAGTTTGAAAGAAGAGCGATCGCCCGATGGCGGTAGGCTATAGCAGTTATTTATTCAGACCCAGAACCAAACATTCAATCTTGGTGAAGAGAAGTGAAAAGCCTTCCGATTCTAATTCTAGTCCTGTATTATTCAATGATGTCTTTAGAATGATGAAGATAAGGACAACGAAACGTATTTTATTTAACTGTTGAAAGCGAGGAAGGAATGAAGCAACAATAGAGAGAGAAAGAGGAAGTAGGCTAATAACATAGGGGAAATATTATGAAAGGTATATATGCGTCAGCCCACTAATTATACAAATAGGCCCTGTTATATTTCCAAATGTAAATTAAATTCTCTAGCCTATACTGGTAACTTTGTAGGCCGCGTTTGCTGCAACAGAATCACATGTTCTCTCCCTGATTTACCATGGTTAGAACGACGTGCGTAACTCCAGTCCATATAATACAGTATAATACAATACAGCACAGTAATACTG